TCAGTACCTTAAGGAATATAACGGACAGATTTAGAAGAATATGAAGGACGCTGATGACATAGTAAACAAAGCACTTAAAAAGATATTAAGTAGTCTAAATCACTTTTGTTTTTATATTTTTGAATAAAACAAATTGTTGTATGCAGAAAATAAAAGCATCGGGTCGGCTCCCCGACACGGAGCTTTTGGAGCCCACTGCAAACTCTGACGACGCCGTTCGAAAACTAATCGAAAAATTTAAACAGTTTTCATCATAAGGGTGGAGATATTCTTTCCTTCTCTTTTTGTTATAAATCAACAACATTGTGTAGAATTAAAATACTTTGAAAAAAAAAATTTCATTTTAATATAAATTATTTTCCAATGCTGCTCCAACCATATTTTTCGTCGCTTTTTCGTCATAACAAAAATTTATATAATATACAGTTAAAAATTAAAAACTTTATTTGCACATTTAAAGTAGAACAATCAAAGTACACAGTAGGAATTTAGTACACAATAAGAATGTTTCCTAAGTTTCTAAATATCGTGAATTGTTTTTTATTATTCTTATTAGAAGTTTAATTTTATGAAAGAAACATTAAAAATATTTTTAAAGGAATTATAATAAAATAAAAAAATTATCACTCATCAACTGTTAAATAGCTAATAGCCATAAAACGATAAATTCATCAAACGTTGAGGAAATTTGGAGCTTGTTCCAAAAGCTTCATAAACCCATCAACTAAAAAATTCTGAAAAATTTAAGTATTATTCACTGTGAACCCAAAAACAATATAAGAAAAGCTATTTGATATTGTACAAATTTTAATTTAAAATTTAATGTAGTAATAAAAAGCTAGAAATATCTTTTCTTCGAGTTTTTATTTTCAAGTTTTGCAAGATTATTTAATTATTTTAATGTAATGGAATCTTCATATTTTAATGTAAACGCCAGGATGATATCGACAGAAAATTGTCTAAAATAAAATTTTGCCCAGCCTCGATCGATATAGTCTGGCTTGAGTTTGCTGTATTTGTTAATTATTTTGTTTACTAACTAATTTTATTCTGATTTGATTTCTGAGCAGAAAAACTATCTAATTATCCTCATAAATTCACTCATAGTACTTCAAGTAAACTATTGCAAATTGTTAAAGACCTTAAACTTGAATGCCATAAATTACGAAGTGTTAACAAAATTAGGATAAATTCTCCCTCTCATCTTTGATATTACCTTCATAACTAAATTTATTACTACAGCCTTGTTATTTTCTGTTCAAGCACTGAAAAAATTTTCAGATCAAATTTCGTTATTAAGTACTGGAACTTTGGGTGCATCACCCGTAAAATCCATTATTGCCGTAAAATATTGACAGTAATTTTTACAGTAATATTTCAGTTACTAGTTTTCCTGTAAAAATGGATTTTGCGTAAGTAGTACCGTTACCTTGAGTGTCGGTACTTCTTAACGGAATTTTATACGGAACTTTTTACAGTGTGGTGCAGGATATTACTTTAATTACCACTCGTTTAGTATAAATGTATATGTAAATAATGCATGATAACAAATGATTGTAAATAATACAGTAAACAAAAATATTGAATCGCAAGATAAATAAAGTATTTTTTTAATAAAATACAGTTGCAATATGTAATTTAAGAATTGTCTATTTATTAAAAATTATTGATATTTTTTCATCTTGTCAGAGTTTTAAGCGATTAATTTACACATATTTATCATAAATTGTTAGGACACACACACACACATATCTATATATATATAAATATATATGCTGTCTATAGTGTCTGATTGCTTAATAAATGATTGTTTAATAATCATACTTTTCCATTTTCATATATTTTTTTTAATTATTTTGGATAATTTTTTAAAATTATTTTGGATTTAATAATTATTTTTACACGCTTAAAAACTCAAAAAATTAAACAATTTAAAAAAAAAGACGTGTATCTGCACTGTTTTAGATTCTGTAAAAAATTAATTGTTTTTAAGAATAAAACATTTGTCAATTAATCATAATTTTTAATTGCAAAGAGTTTTTTTCTCTTTTTTTGTGCGTAACAAACAAACTAGCCCTTATTTGTCACAATATACTATTGTTTAAATTTTAAGATTACAAGCCCATGGCAACTGAACCTTTGAAAATTTTGCTTTTATTTACTTAAATTATTTTCCATACGCATTTTTAAGTTTCTGTTGTTGCATATGTACGCAACAGGGAAGAGATAAAATTTTTTATTGAAGCATTATTGTGTTATGATGAATTTTTTTAATTTACATTATTTACCAGTTAATGATTCAGCGTTCCTACACTGTTAGATTTTTTCATTCTGAATTGCGGTAAAATAACCGGCAGCAATCTCTCCATATAATTAACCATATATTTATGGTCTGTCCATATATTTATGGTAAAAATATTTTTTTACTTTCCCGGTTTTGAAACCGTATACAACTAGTATGGTTGGAAAATCATGAGCTCAAAACTATACGGTTTTTACCCGTTTACAAATAGCGTGGTTTCAAAGCCGCAAAATAATTATTATAATCCATATAAGTAACCATATATTTATGGTCTGTCCACATATTCATGGTAAAAAATATTTTTTACTTTCACGGTTTTGAAATCGTATAAAACTAGTATGGTTGGAAAATTATGAATTCAAAACTATTTTGTTTTTACCCGTTCACAAGTAGCGTGGTTTCAAAGTCGTAAAAAAAATTTACATGAACATTGAAGCTAGCCTTTTTGTTAGGTATTGTTGGTGCTGAGTTATATTTCAGTTGTGTCTTATTTAAAGAACTGTGGAATGTGACTTAGTTAATTTGGTTGTTTCGTTTATCATATGAAATGGGAAATTCTAGACTTTTTGTGTTAAGCAGCTTTATGGTATTGCCATCTATTCGTGAATAAGAATATCGTATTCTAGTAGACCAGGGTCACAAATTAGGGAGTGCGAGACACTAGTAAATCTTCATGTGTTTAAGGGAATGAAAGAAATATTGTGGTGTCGAGGCTGGGACTCAAACCCTGTTCTGTGAGTCATGAGACTGACAGATTAGCCTTCTCGGCTGTAACATGCATTCGGCTGCAAACGACTTAGTGGTTTTTAGGTGGTTTTTCTCACAGTTAACAGTTTGAATACCATTTTATTATTTTTATTTGACTGCTCTGTTTGAATATCATAAAATAACATTTAAATAAATTGATAACCATTTAATTTATTTATTGCATTTATTTAACCATTATATCTGAGAAATTTCTGACTGTGTTATATGAAATGCCTTTATTTTCTTGTTTCATATATCCATCTTTTTGTTAAAAGTAGGGAAATATGGAAGTTATTAGAATGTTTTCTAAAAACAATTTTTCCTTATTTTTTAAGCTTATTAAGTTTTATATTAAGTTTAAAAATTTGGTAGCTTATAACTTTCGTGTACGTTATCATTTTATACTTAAACTATAAATTCTGTTTTTTATTTTTTAAAGAATATAAATTCTGTATCAAACATACATACTCGAGGTTTGTGTGAACCATCATAAGGTAATTTTAACTAGCAAAAATTAAAAAGCTTTTTCAAATTTTCCACCAATTATTAAATTTCTAAAGAATAGACAATAATTGTGTTTTATAAATATCCTGAAACAACTGAACTGAAATTGAACAAAAAATAACTATTTGAACTATATCTTATTATGTTTGTTTCCTAGTCTTCTTTTCATTTTTCTATTTTTCATGTTCAGTTGTCCCTCTTCGGTATTTTCTCTTGGTACCTTTGATTTGATATGATGGGTCAAACCTCTTTTATTATCCATTTTATTATCCATTTTATTGTCGATCAATAAAATGTAGACAATAAAATGAGTAAAATGTGATCAGATTTGACAAATAATGATTTCTGACGCTATTGCAGCGAGAGAAAATCAGATTTAATGTTCATATTCCTTAAAAATACAGAACAGAATATAAAACTAAGATTCACTGGCATTATTGAAGGGAGAGAAAAAACATGATTAGCACAGATGTGTTATTAGCATTATTTTATCAACCATTTACTATCATAGAGTTATAAATATTTATTACTCTATGTCTACTATCATCTATATTTTATCAACAATCGACCATGAAAAAAGTGTCGTACATATAATACCTTAAAAGACCGAAATTTTAATATTCGACAAGGATAAATTAAGAAAAACATCATTGTTGGGAACACCGGGCCACGACACTCAATCTTAAAAAGAATCATCGTAAGGAATACTGGTCAACAGTATGTTGGTGGCTCTTAATCTTAAAAAAAATTGTAGGGAATATCGGACAATAGCGCTTAACTTTAAAATACAACATTATAGGGGTCCCGCAGTGGACTGATCGATAAGACACGGTTCCCAGCAGACCACCGAAGTCAAACATCACTGGCTGCGGTCAGTGTGCGGGTGGGTGACCACTTGGATCAGTCTGCGTAGGGACCGATGGTGTGTGGTATCGTTAAAATGTTCTACCGTAAAGTGCTCGACTTCGCGTGCAGGTCGTCGGGCTACCGAAGCGGGGGTGCCATCCCCTCTGCAGAGGATCAAAATTGTGATGGCATGTCTTCGGATCATCCTCAGGGATGTTTCCCAGACAGTCGCCAATAGCTCATTGTGCAGCTCTAGTGCGATGTAAATGAACTACAACAACAACAACATTGTAGGGAATACAAGGAAATTGCGCTTAACTTTAAAAAAATATCATTATGGAGAATACCGGGTGATTGCGCTTAATTTTAGGAAAAAGACACCAAGGGAATACCGGACAAATATTTATAATCTTAAAAATTGAGAATGAGTAGAGAATGTCGATCATTATTCTCACACCTCTCCAATATTCCCTAGACATTATTTACCGTAATCTATCATAATTGAATAATAAAATATCGAATAAGTATTTAAATATCCAATAAATATTTAAGTATCGAATAAATATCTAAATATCGATGAATAAATTAATGTCCAATCAGATCCAGCAAATATTTTTGATATTTAATAAAGCAACTGCGCGAGTGACACTCACCAGTAAAAATCGACAATCACCGATTTCGGTCTCTTACGGTGACATATTCATTGTATGGTTAAAAGAAAAACATAGTATAGAAATAAAAAATGGTACATTGTGTTTTTCATGCAATATTTTGTTTTCATTTTGCGTTAAGAACAATTATGTGGTATTTGTTGTTAGTTTTTCATCACATTTCTTACAAAATAGCTCTGTATATGCTTTTTTATATTCTTTGCTAATAAGCACGTATATCACTGGGTTAATAATATTTGAAAAATATACTCCCATATACCCAATAACATTTAAAACGGGCAAATCATATTCCTTCTTGAATATTTTAACAAACGATACGGGAAAATAGCAAACGAGAAACGTGATGAAAATAACAAGCATGACTTTCAGAACCTTCAACTCAGCTTTTTGTGGCTTATAGCTTGTATTCACTTTTGCTGGCATTTCCGAATGCTTATAGTCTTTATGAAATACGCCTTTTTTGGATGAAAATGTGACAGAATTCGGATCAATAGAGGATTTACGAACGTCATTTCGTATTTGTTTTGAGGCTTTGTGCACTACCCAAAAAATCCTTGCGTAACAAAAAATAAACACAATCGATGGAACAGTAAATGCTGCTATATATATAAAAGTTTTGGGCGATTTTCCATTCATTTTTAATATGCTACAAGTGCCAACCTTTGGATCAAATCCAAATCTTCCCCAGATTTCTAACAAAGGAAGGAACAATAACGCCAGTGCACATAACCAAATGAAGAAGATCATCACAGCAACACATCGGGGTTTATACATATCCCGATACAAAGATGGGTGAACTACTAGTATGTATCGATTAATCGCTATTGCTATGACACTGAATAACGACACTGCGCCGTTGGAGTACCGCACCAGTGGTATCAGTTGGCAAAGTATGTCACCGTAGTTCCAATCTCGTTCTAAGAACACCACAGCGGAGAGGGGAATGGAAAAGCAGCAAAATAAGAAGTCTGCAACACAGAGGTTCACTATGAAAGCTGTTGTGGCATTTCGGAGTCTTTTACAATTGGACAGAGCAAGAATAGATATGAAATTTCCTGCTATGCCAACAATGGCAAAGAGAATTAGTAACACAGCAGCAAGATCCATGAGTATCGGTGGGTATTGGAAAAACAGAGTATCATTCCCATGCGTCGTGCTGACCATTCTGTAGCTATCTAATGTTGATATAGTTTTGGTCTCTCTGGTCATGTTATCATCGATGTTGATCATCGTAAAAGTATTCATCTTGTTAGAGGTTATTTGCATACTTGAATTCTGAAAGAGAAGAACAACAAAATTAAAAACATTCAGGACACGAATGAATTCGAATACTTCATTTATAGGAGATAGTTACGCTATTAAAATAACAATTTCTTCCTATACGCGACTAATTAGGATTTTAATAATTTTTGGTCTACATGTATGTTTAATTATAAATAAAACAGCCAAGGAGAGGAATTTGTTTCATTTTTGAAAAATTTATTCTTTGTTATATTAGTGAAAATAATTAAAATTGACCTATTTTAACATATTACAGTAGGAGTAGTTAAACATGAGTAAAAATTTTAGTTAGTTAAAGGAAATTAAATTAAGAAAACTAAAAATTGAATTGAAATGAAAAAATATGTTGAATTTGCTCTTTTGAAATTCATAAAATATTTTTAATGATTTAAAATTTTTATTTTAAATTTAAATCCAATCAATTTCCGTCAATTGAAATTAAATTTCAATTGATGAAATAAAGAAAATATTACTTATATTCGTTGCGTATAAAATAGCATTTTATCTGTTCCAGATTAAGCAAAATTCAACATTAAAATAGTTATTTAAATGTTTGTTAAAGAAAAATAATCTTTTCATCAAAAAGCTGTGCACTGCTTGAAATTTCTCGGGAAAAAAGGTTAAATAACTATTTATTTACATATTATTTTACCCTATTCAAACAAAATGGTCAAATATCCATCAATCAGATGGTAATCAAACTGTTAACAATGAGAAAAACCGTTTATTTAACTGGTTTCACCTAATATGGTTTAACAGCTATAAGCTCATCGCACCTATTAGGCTCACCTAAGGAAGCCACTTAGTTTCTTGCAGCTGGGTACATATTATTGCCGGGAGAGCTTATCTGTAAGTCTCATGACCGACAGGACGGGGGTTCGAGTCCCAGCGATGACACCACACTATTCCTTCCATTCTCTTCAACACGTGAAGAGTTTCTACATGCCTGCATACCCCTATTAATGACCCTGAACTATAAAAATACGATACTCTCATTCATGCATAGATGGCAGCACATAACTGAGTAACGCAAAAAAGTCCATTATTTCTCATCTCTCACGATAGGTGGAACAACCAGTTAAACTAATTAAACTACATTCATTTGATAAAACACAACTCAACCACAACCTAACTCCAATGCCCATTACCTAACGAAAAGCCTAGCTTCAATGTCCAATTAAATTTCATTTTTACAGTTTTGAAACCATGCTAGTTGTAAATGGTTTAAAATAGTATAGTTAAAAGTTTTTCACTAAATTTAAGGTTTTTTCACCTTAGTAGTTATATACTGTATCGAAACCGGGAAGGTAAAAAATATACTTTGCCGTAAACTTAACGGTCAATTGGAGGGACAGACTGATGCTGGTTATTTTACTGTAATTTTGGAATGAAAATTCTAGCAGTATGCTTATTTTATTCTTTTGTTTTTCTCTCTTCCATTAAACTTTCTTGGGAATAACTATTTTCATTTGAAGCTTACGAAGTTGTTTATGCTTCGCCCAGATAGACAATCAGACCATTAAACTAACATTTCTCCAATACACTTCTAAACATAAAATTTTAACGTTTCAAAAATGAAGCAATAATAAATAATGGAATACACTGACGTTGAAAGAAAATTATTTTGTTAAAACCATCTTTCTAATGTTTACTGGTACCATTCCATGCTACCTTTGTGATTCTTCTTTTATTTCTTATTCGATTCTTTTATTCTTTTTTTTTCAAAATAGAAGAGTAACAGTCATTATAAAAATGAAGATGATATGAAATAAAAGGTATTTCAATAAATGCTTTTATGTAACAGGGTGAAGTAATTTATCATAGAGAAGTTTATTCAATAGGGGAGAGAGAAAAGGTAAAAAATATAAGTATAAAATCAATTTTTTTTAATACAATTTATTGGAAGTGCTTTAAAAATTGCAAAAGGTATATTAATATTTAAAAAAAAAAGAACAATAAATTAAAGATTCACTGGTTTGAATCTAATTGTTGATTTCAGTCTCTTCATTTTTCACTTAAAAAGTTATTTTCATCTATGAAAATAAGGGCGATAATATAAAAAAAAAACACATCAGCCTAAAGGGTGTTCTGTTATCCCCACCCTAAATGCATATATTTGGAATTCCTATGGAAAAAGACATTAGAGGTTGGAATTCAATATTTAACCAAGGAAGAAATAAAAATTTTATCGAAATCTGATGAAAAAAATTGAAGAAGGCAAGAGGAAAAACTTTAAAACTAGTTTAATTATTTGATTAAATTTGGAGCTATTTCTAATTATTGCCTTTCAGCTCATTTCTCTTTCTTCGGGAAATCAATCTAACAGGTTTTGATGTTTTCTGTACCACTTTTCATAGTACTGATGCATCCGATATTGAAAGCGTTTTTGTTGCTTTATCTCTTAAATATTAGTTTCGAATCGCGATGTCTATTTTTTTCTCTTTATCGACGAAGATTTAAAATAAATGCATTAAGACCAGTCTCTACTGAATTGCTAAAACATTTAATATCTAAGAAATTCAATTAAAAAAAAAACTAATATTGAGATACATAAATACATATAGAGGAAGTTTTTGAACCAAAACAATGAAGGATTTTAAAACAATTTAAAATGTATTTAAAAAAACTCAAAATCAGTTGTAACAAAAAAGACAAGGAGCAGTTCAAATATAAATAAATGCTCAAAATTGATATCATATCAAAATGCTAAGAAAGTTTAAGCAAGATTTAACAAAATTATTTAAAAATTGCAAATATTAATTTTTAATAAACTAACCATTATAAGGTTTACTATATTTTATATGAGTTTTCATTATTATTTTGTTATTACACAACAATTTTAAAAAACATTTCTAATAAAACGAAGAAAACTCAATCTGTTTTAACGGGGTAGGAGTCATTGCGCACATAGTTAAGAGAGATTATTATTAATAAAAAGTGCAATCAAATCGCTTACAATAACAATTGCACTTAAATGAAACAATTGTAAGATTTTTGTAAACAAATACCATATATAAGCAAATCTTACAACTTAATTATTAAAAAAAAGCAAAGGAATTTTAAGAAAATACTAAAAAAAATGGAAGGACGAAGTATTTTTTACTGAAATGTATTGAAGACCTTTAAATATTTAACCTGCTTTTTCAGCCTCTTTCTTTTTTAGCTGCTTTTAACATTGCGTAATTTACCCAAGTATATGAATAATGCACGCCTAGCATAGGAACGATGCTTCATGTTTTTCTAAATAGCTAACGTACACCTCGACAGGAGAAATTGCGCGACTTTTTACTTAAACATGACCGTTTCTGGAAATAGTATTCGGTGCAAGCTCTTCGTAAGTAAGATACGTAGCTTATAAGAAATCGCTTATTTTTAAAATATTGCATACTTCTGGCATCTTGTGAAAATTAAAAGAAACAGTTATGAAAATATAGGTGTGAAAATGTATATTTGAAAATAGATATTTGAGAAATGTGTTTGATAAAGAATGTTTGAAATATATATATGAAAAATATGTATTTGAAAATATATACGAAAATATATATTTGAAAATGCATTTTAGAAAAATATAGATAAAAATATATATTTGGGAAATATATATCAAAATATATATTTGAAAATGCATGTTTGAAAAATAGATATTTGAAAACATTAATAAAAATATCTATTTAAAATTATGTATTTAAGAATACATTTATGAAAAATATGTTTGAAAATATATCTTTGAAAATATATAAATGAAACACATATATGAAAATTCATATTTGAAAATGAATGTTTGAAATACAGATTTCCATGTATATTTTTTAATATATATTTAAGAAATATATATGAAAATATATATTTAAAATAAATATTTGGAAATATATTTTCCAAAAATATCTTTGATTTAAATATTTGAAAAAATTGATTTATATACATGAAAAACAAAAGAATATCAAAATATACCCATGTTTTATTTTTGACGCTTGTAGCAATCTGCTTGCTCATTTACGTACACACTACAGTACTGCTCTTGCAGAAATACCTAGTAACACAGCTAGCATGCTGTACTCTACAAATCCACGTTGTACACCATCTCTCTTAACTTCAACTTATACTACTTTCCAGTTTATACGAAATTATTAATGTTCTTAATTAAGAAACTCAGTTTTCATTATTGTATGGTAATTAAGTAGGAATAGTTAATGTTATTAAAGTTAGAAAAAAAGGAAATTACTTACAGAGTAAAGTGCCATTTCTTCAAACATTGTCGCACATTGAATAATTGAATTTTAAGTACTAAAATTATAAAATATGCTACAACTAATACTTCTAAGAAACTACATTTCAAACAATTTATGTTTCATTATATAATTGCATTAAAAAGCTGAAAAAGCTATAAACATACCAAAATGTTGAATGAAACGGTTTTAATACCCAGAACAGGAAATCAGTTGAATGTTTTGATAAATCTTTTGATGCTTTATTTTAAACAAACAACGACTGAATCAGAACACACGTGAAGCTGTGATTAACTTAACTTCCTTTAGTTTTCTTTTCTCCCGGAAATGTAAGCTTTTTCCTTTCTGCTTTGAATTTCAGAGAACATCCAAAGATTTCTTTATCTTATTAAACGTAAAATTGCGATAAACTTCTAACATTCATTTAGAAATTGTATTCTTAGCATGGTTTTTAGAAGTGAAACTGCTAAATGAAAAGGACACAGTTTAAGTGCCTTACACTTAAAGCAACGATATTATTTTAAGCTTATATATATATATAATATAATTAATTTTTAAGTTATTATATCCTTCATTTAATTAAATCACGTCAAATAAATTTTTCATTAAACAACTGAATTAGAATAAAAACAATTTTAAAAAATAAATATCAACATTTTCGCTAAAAAGAATGCATGGGATCGAAAGAAGATATGAAAGTTTTATTTGAAAACTAAACAATCTGTATTTCAATGGATAGATTTCTAAGTATCAAACTTATCCAAATAAATT